ATTTTCTTTTCGTTCGAAAAATTTTATAAAAGAAATATAAAACGGCCGCTTGTGTCTCTGTCCTCTGATATAAACACGGTGGGAGTTGAAAAACACTTGAGAAGCAAGAGAAACACTCGCTACGCTCGTGTTCCTGAGCTTGCTTCTCTCGTGTTTTTCGAACTCCCACCGTGTTTATATCAGAGGACAGAGACACGCGCGCCGTTTTATATTTCTTAAATAAAGACTCTAACAGCACGAGTCTACCCTGGTGTCAGGGTCTTACACATTTGAATTCAAGTTTTTCGCCGTTTTTTTGTGATTTTTTTTACAAGGAACCTGATTTTTACCAAAAAAAAAAAAACAAATTAGCAAAGTTTATTTATTTACGACTGACATGAAGACATCTGACAAACCCACCATGATTTGGCTTCTTTTGTTCCAACTTTAGAAGACAATTTTTTGGAAATATTAACACTTTCATATTTTTTGTTTATATAGTTCTCGTGTTAGCAAATGAAACGAAAATTTCGTTTAGATTCTTGATATTTTTGATCAAAGAAAACACGGGTGATTTTAATTCCAAAGGAATGTTTTCTCTGGGTTGTATTSTATTTGAAGAGAAGCTAGTAGAACTAACGCGGCGTGAGGCGAAGCAAAAACCAATTAAAGGTGATGAAGGATGAGGGCTGATTAACAAGCCTGGAATTTACGACGGAATTGAAACAGCTCTGTTTATATTCCCAACTTAAAAAACATTTTTCTGGCAATATTTCGCTATTGTTTATCAAGTACACTTGACGTCGTCCACTTTCTGTCGCCAAACGGCTCGGGTTTTTCTTTCACAGTCGACTRTRCCTTGAACGGATGTTGATCTCAAGAGTATCAAATTCTTGTGTTTGCGCATAACTCTGCGTTGCGTCATTTTTCTTCTGTTTTMCTAGATATCTTGTTTTTACTTAAAAACCTTGAATGAAAAACATCAAATCTACTAATAAGGCTTTGATTTCATCAAGTTTAYAAATAAGCCGATATAGGTCAAGAGTAAGTTCTGAAAAATAAAATAATAAGATAGCTTAACGCACTTATATTTTCAAATGTAGACCCATCTACYGTTGCAAAGCTCAAAGTAAAACGCATGCATTCTCAAAATAGAAATCTTTCAAAAGTGACCTTCAAATGGCGACATTATCACGCTGAGCGGCCCTGCAAAATTGTGGTCACAATCACGTAGAATACACTGAATGTAGACCTACAATGTAGGCTGATTTACTAAAGTGAAAGAACACTGCAATATCATTGTATATAGTGCGTATAGTGTATATAAGCGCTAATACAATATGCCATTGTTTTCATTTTATMTTGTTTATTGCATCAGACTAACCGCACTTAAGATTTTCATGATAACGTCTTTATGAAACTAGATCAATTCTAATGCAATACGTAAAAATGGCTCATATTAAGGGAATGATTCTACAAGGGCAAAAAATGTGGAAATACACGTGTCCGCTAAYAGCGCAACCACCCACAAACGAAGACGTGGTCCAGGGAAAATAATAGTAGAATTTCTCTATTTGCTTCATTTTTTTACCAGAGACTTGTTGTTGTTGTTTTCTTGTTTTTGCTGTTGTTGTTTTATTTTTTATGTTACGACCATTCAGCAAGAATCGAAAGTAAACCATTGTCCAATACCATATCACAGCTTAATGGTTTTTAAACGTCTAGTACCTGTAGTCAAATCAGCTTACTCGCATTCAACGATTATTTTGAAGGGAAAAGCGAAAAATTGTTCCCTTTTAAGATTTAAGCCTAACTCATAATAGAGAAAATCTACCTAGCGTATCGTTTAGCAAAACGTTTGTAGTACGTATGGCTATCTAGAGAAAGTTTCTAGCTTGATTGAATTGCGCGGGAATGATTTATGCCATTATATATATCCAATAACAGATTTCATGAACACCATTCCTCTCTGACGCATGAATGCAAATCTCCAAACACTTCCAAGCGATAGTATGAGATTGGAGTGTGTTCCTTGTGAAATAGCTAAAAACGGGCTGAAAACATGACTGCAAAAAAATTAATGTGCGCATCTAACCTCATCTTAACCTTGTATTGATAACGCACAAAGTTTAGAAGGCCTATTGATAGGGGTCGCATACTTTAACATCACCTTAATTTAACAACAATACAATCTTGAGCTGTTTTCTAAAGAATGGCTGTCCTTACCTTGACATTGATGAAAAGACATCGCAAGCGAGAGAATTAAAGTCAGAGATATTGCAAGCATTCTTTGCTACTCCAAACAAACGTACACGACGCACAGAATTGTTACTACTATCACTACTTGTGGGTAAATACTTCACCACGTCGAACGTCTTGCTATTTACGCCGTGTTTATGCGGCCAACTACAATTACGGCCGAAACGAGACGGTGTTGACGGATGACACCGGAAATCAAATAGATGAAAACATGTCCGGTGATGGCTGTGATGTCATCGGGATCKCGGTGCTAACAAATGTCTTGAGAAAACACCTTTAGGTAATGTAGAGAGCATAAGATGTTGAGAACGTGTCGCACTAAATACAATAATGAAATGTGCACATGTTCTATATATATCATTTCCTCGATCTATCAGGTTTTTTTTTACTTGTTTTTTTTTATTTTGCCTCTTTATTTTGGGAAAACTTTATTGTTGACATACAAGGGACAGAAAAGACAAATTACTTTTAAAGTAGTTTAAGGCCGCAGACTTTACTCTCCATACAAGATTGTTTACCGATACCAAAGAACCCCAAGAATCTAAAATCACTTTGTTTATGCTTACCTTACGCGCGCGAGACTTCAAAGGTGGCCGCTTAAAAGGCATTTCAGGAATTAAATTTGTTTTAATAGCTATTTGCCCATTTGATAAAAAGCTGAGGTGCTTCTACAATGTCTGGAGATGTAGCATGATAAACTATAGTTTAGGAACGCAGTTTTTCCTTTGTTCTGATGCCGGCAACCGATTCTTTAGTAAAATTGAAGCCTTGCCATAAACCATCAATCAAACCTAAGCGGTCTCTTGCTACTCTCTTGCTACTGGTCGACAGAAAACCAGTCGTGTTACTGGTAACAAACGATCATATTCATTCTGGAAAAGCATTGCTATTTTTAATTTTGTAAACTTTCGAAATCTAGCAAATCTCGCAGCAAGCTAGTGCTCAGAACACCAGGCGCTATACTGTTACAGAAATCCAATGTGGGTTGCTTGAAAATGGTCTTACCCGATCAAGTGTACATTTCCGTCGGTTCTCAAGGTCTTAACAGTAAATGGATTAAAATAGTTATACTTACTCTCATAGTAGGTAATGTTCTTGATGGCTGTTGTGCTCCAAACACACAACACAAGGCAGAAACACACGACAATATAACGCAAACAGCCATGCCGCTCCATCTTCTTTGCCTGGAATGTAAGCAGATCTGTYATGGTATATCATTACAATGCTGTTTACAGACGGCCAGGCCACTGTGCCATCGCGATATCATCAACCAGTTGCGTYCAAAAGATAAAAAATAAAACCGATAAACTCAATGAAGCAAGACGGCATGTGCTTTTACAAACATGCGTTTATTCTTCCCTTCTTTCTTTGAGGGTCGCCGTGGGAATGCGTGTTTTATGGGTTATATTTGAACTAGCTGCTTGCTCATTTTAGGAGGAGCCGACGGTTTCCTGGGAGAAATATATCTGTTCTTATGTCCYAGYCAGCTGTAAGTAACAACCGGTTACCAGCGAGTAATTCAGGAAAAGAACTCTCCAGGAAAATAAAAATTTCCTAACTAAAAGAAATATAAGCAATTTTTGACCATAAAAACGTTATATAAGCCTTTTTAAACGTTTTCCAGGAACAAATTAATTTTAAAGAAGGAAGAGCGCCACATTTGTTTGTGAGATTGTCAACAATTTACCTCAAAATCCCTTTCCCAGGAAAAAATTCGTACAAGAACAGTTATTTACAAGAACAGAGCCCGTCGGCTCCTCCTGTCATTTTGAAGCAACTAGGGTAACCATTTTATCCCACATGGAAGATCAACTTGTGGGTGATTTATTATACGTTTGATATGCTATATAAAATATTTAACTGAAAACTTTGTCAAGGGGACAGTGTTTCTAAWTCTGAACTTATCAATTTAAAATGAATAATTCATTGCTAATTGATTCAACATCACTTCATCATTTACCGTGTAAACCGTGCTACAACCTATTTATTACCATTTCCAGGCCGAAGGCCTGAAGCACGGTCTCAACTAAACATCTTCGTTTTCACTATACGTCACAGCGGCCATCTTGGAGGAACTTCAGCAAAGGATTTCACATTAGTACCTATTGTTCATTCCTCCAATATGGCCGGCGGTCTTTATCTTTTGAATTTCATGGGAATGATTGGATTTTTTTTTTTATTTTTTTTTCCATGTCGCAGTTTATCAAACTCAGGATCCCGGGTTCTTATTTTAGAGATAGGGGAGGGTATGACAAAATCGAAATTTTAGGTCTGCTGGGATATCGATAGGGTCAGGGTATTGAGATCCTGACGGTTTCTATAGAGACCCTCTTGTAAGGGCCACCAAGTAAACGCACCAAAACCCTCGCCCTTGAATAAAAATAAAAAAAAAAAAACCAAAAAAAAACTAAAAAATGACTGAAGATTGTTGGAAAACCTTATGTTAAGATACATTTTTTCGTGCTTTCTTTTGCTCTCTGCGCAAGTCGATTTGCAAAATCGTCTTTTGCAAATCGAAACTCCACGTTTTTTGAAATTGACCACCCTACATCTTTAGCATTTTTACCCATCACGGGGATAAGGTTCAAACTTGACAGGGAGCAACCAACGTTCCTGTTTTCATAGATTTTTTGCAAGTGCCAAGCCACTCGCACCTACAGGCAAAATATTGCACCGATTGCATTCTTTTGATGTTAAAACTTGCCAGATTTACCTTGTTAGGTTCTGAATATCTGCCACAGAACGACTAGGGACGTGACCTTTCTCTAACGTCCCTCGTATTTGGCGACATTGTCTTCGAAAATCATTTTTTTTACAGAAGAGTGTCTCTGCCGCCTAGTCCAGCTTTAAAATGTACTCCTAGGGGCTTCTGTGGCAGCAAATGACTCGAAAAATCATTTAAAAACTGTTTTGGGGAGAATTGAGAGCATGTGCACAGCATTACTACTAAGCCTTCAATAGAAGGTTGATGATCAAAGTCACAGAATCAGGCTTCAGCCTATTGCGCAATTCCGCAAATAAAGAAGCAAAATAATGTTTGGGATAAAAAACAGAGTAGAGTCATACGACCTCTACGTGCATACGTAGTTTATTATTCATGCATGACGTTGCATAGAATTAAATCACTCAATCGAATTGATCTCATTTAACGGTTATTAAGAGTTTAGGGAAAATAAAGGGTCAAACAATGCATATTATAGCACTGATTCGAATCTTCATGCTTGTCGTTGAG